GCTGGACCTACATGACCTTTTGAAACCAGCCTGAATAGCGCATACATATAATCCAAGTCATTCATCAACATCACATCTGAGCATATCCCCTTTTATCCCTTTCTTCCAAGGTCAGCTGCTTTTGATCAACACGCGCTAAGAAGGCGAATCGCTTGCATGATAAGTTGCTTGGTCCGACATGAACATCGGTCAAATTGGGTACTCGCAAATGTATTTTGATCTTGGCGGACACACACCCCGTACCCCCACCGGCTGGACTACTCATCCAACGCGTCCCAGCCTACGTCTCTGAAGCGTGTAGATGTGGCGCTTTTCGTGCTCTTTGGCGACATCTGGGCAGTCCGTCGGGGGCAAGATCTCTAATTCACATTATTGACGGACTGCATTCCGAAGCAAAATGCTGGAGTCAAAATATCTTCAGGCCAAAAACAATGTAGCTGAATGTTGCCGCTTCTAGGGGTGCTGCTCATGGCCATTCAAGGCTTACCTGCGCGTGTTTAATCAGCACATTGTATGCAACAATCCGGGAGCATGTTTGTTGCAAAAGCCATGCAGCGGACCTTCGAGGGGGCTATCCTTCCATGCGCGATACTGCATCGCTTCCAAGCACTTCGAGCGGGAGGGGCAGCTCGCCGCGCGTCAGCTTGTCCCACTCAGGCTCCCGGCGAAGCCGCCGATCACTCTGCCTCGGCGCACCACTTTGCTTTGCTGTATTGTTCCTTGGTTTCGCTTCGGTGCTAGAAACGCGCTTGATCTACCGGGCAGTTGCACATTGCATGTTTCCACCAGACTCTTCCGTAGCTTCTTGTGGGGCCTTCCCCCGCCGGAAGCTTGCACGGACAACCGAGGGCTTGCAACATATGAGTGAAATTGGCTCCAAGCTAGCCTGAGACGGGCAATCAACTCAAGCGTTTATGCTCTCAATCTGCAACAAAACTCTCGAACACAAAGTAGCCGCTGCCCCTACTTGCCCCGCCTGCATGCTTGGAAGATGACACCGGTGATCCGGGCGAGCTGTCGCAGGTCTGGCGACGCAAAAGCGACAGACTTTCTCTTGGCTAAGGGCTCGCCAGCCCAACTTGTAACCGAAAATGTGCGATGCAGCATGATTGCATGCATTCACTTCACCCATATACTTGGCACTCCCACATTCAGACATTCACATACTTGAATCAAATCCGTATTAAGAATCTATGTACCAAAGAGTGGACAGTAGTCATGTTCTTTGTGCGATCATGGAGGTCTAGACGAAGACTAGAGAAACGTCATATTTGACCATGACGCAAAGCATTTTGCTCACGAATCCGTTGACGGAAAACGCCCGAGTGTCGAAAGCGCTGACAAAAGAGGAATGGGTATGCCGCGTCTTAGCTGACTGCCGCCATATTCCCAAGGTTTACTCATCAAGATCTCTCGATCTCTTCAATGAAAGCCTGGCATTCGCCACAACTCTCAATCTCTTTACCAAGAGCTGCTCAAGCGGTCTCATCACACCCTTTCATGTGTGTTGAACCAGGTGAAAGCTGCTAGGCAGGTCTGAACATTCCCATTTGACAGTAAGACTCGCACCCCAGGCCTCTGGGAAGATGCGCGGTCGAAGAGGCCTCCACACTCGGTGATCAACTACGGTTGACACGCTGTTCAAGAAAATGTGGCAAGATTTGACTTGCTTCAGTGGTAAATAGACCAACCTAATGAAACAGAGCTGTTGTTGTGCCCGCTTGCTTCACAAGGGATTGTGTCATGACACAACTGTCAGATATGACGTGCTGCTGCTGACCGCATGATGATGATAAGTGAGGCGCAACACGTTTCACAAGCTATTGCTGACGGTCGAAATGCCACAAGAGATATTATTACGATCGGCTATTAACCTAATGGCCCCAAAAAAAACTGTCAGCAAGTCAACCTTCCATGGTTGAAATGCTCTCAGCGTCAGCAAACTATTACTTCACGCTCATTGTTAGCTCTAAGCGTGTATCATGTTGTTTCAGTTGCGCGTTGTATCTATGTGAAAACGTAAACTTGTATGTCGAGTCTTTGCTCGTCACCAGTCGCTAGCAACGACAGAGGCGAGTGACCGCTGGAGTGCTCGAGACCACCACAGCTTCCCCTTTTCTCTCCCCCAGCGGCAAAGCAACAGTGCGGCTTCATGCACTTCAAGTGGCTCAAAGATGGAAACATATCTTGCAAGCTGGCCTGCACGTGACAGGAGCCTTGCTCACTTCTCGCCTGCAGAACTTCCAAATGTGCCCAACTAAGGAAGACCTTCCAGTTGTGAGATACAACTGAGTTTCACATAAAACCATGCAAACGAGGGTTCTTGATCTTCTGCCTGTCCCGGGCCAGGGCCCACGCAGTCGAGCAAGCTTTGGGCATGCAGAAAAGCTACTGTTTCGCCTCCCAGCGGCAGCACGCAGTTGCCGACACATGCGTGCATGACGCAGAATATGATTGTCTAATGGACGGCTAAGAAACCAAGAAAGGAAAAAACGGTTCTCTTGCCACAAGGTGATCTCGTGCTTCAGTGGTCGTTTGATTCCAAGCTACTAAAACATCTCTGGTCTACCCGGGTTGGCTTTCTGTGCATCATCTTTCGGCTTCCTGATTGGCCTAGGCACCCTTCTGCACAAAACTTATGCTTGAGCTAGCCGACTGAAGAAACGTGCAAAAGTGCAAGAGTGCTGCGTTGTGTCTGGCTCACTTTGGCCCAGACCCAATATCTCAGGAGCACCCCATGTACTTAAGTGACAAACTTGGAGAGGGGGGAAAAACAGATAGCTACAGTGCGCTACAGAAAAGCCACGACCCTCTCTGGCAAGGTACACATTTGAGTAGGTGGGCCGGAGAAGTCATCCATCCTGCCACTGGATCTCAGGAACCGGGGGCTCTCATGAGGTTCCGCCAGTTTCACCAGAATAATCATCCAAATTACTTCGCTTCGAGCAATCCCCGCCCTCCACATTGTGTGAATTCAAGCATGGTTTTCGAGTGGCTTGGGGCCTATGACTGCTCAACAAGTTATCCACCTGTCTGCGTGTCAAACTCCTTTGTCTGCGAGCCGATCTCGAGAACTCAAACATTGGTTCCGCTCACAAAAGCCAAGCCCCTTCCAAAAAGAAACCCAACGGGGGATTAAACGAAGTTGCTCATTCACAACCCAAAGCAACACAAAAGCATCACCCTTTCCGAGGTTCAGGGTGCTCAAAACACGAAGGCACCAACATGAAATGTAAACCCAACTGCGCGCCGGGCGGGACATTAAGCAAAACCAGACTGGCGAGCTGCTCTGGCAAGCTGCTCTGACGAGCTGCTCTGGCGGAATACTGGCGGGATCCACTGTCGAATACTGGCGAGCCGCTCCGGCTCGATACTGGCCGGATACTCGGCCGGCAGGATCCACCGGCAAGGGATACTCAGCGAGATACTTGGCGCGATCCACTGGCGAGCTACTCTGAGATACTCGGCGGGATCCACTGGCGGGCTGCTCTGGTGGGATACTTGGCTGGATCCACGGGCGAGCTACTCTTGTGGGATACTTGGCGGGATCCGCTGGCGAGCTACTCTGGCATACTCAGCGTGATACTCGGCGGGATCCACTGGCGGGCTGCTCTGGTGGGATACTCGGCGGGATCCACTGGCGAGCTCAGCGGGATACTGGGCGGGATCCAGTGGCGGGCTTCTCTGGTGGGATACTCGGCGGGATCCAGGCGAGCCGTACTCGGCGGGATCCACTGGCGAGCCGCTCTGGCGAGATACTCGGCGGGATCCACTGGCGAGCAGCTCTGGCGGGATACTGGGCGGGATCCACTGGCGAGCCGCTCTGGCGGGATACTCGGCGGGATCCACTGGCCAACTGCTTTGGCGGGATACTCGGCGGGATCCACTAGCGAGCTGCTCTGGCAGGATACTGGGTGGGGGCGTGGTGTAGAAACATCGCAAACATGGATTCCAACATAACATCTAACAACCCCTTCCTGTCGGGTGGGGAATGAAGAGAGAAACATTCGTGACATGTTTGATACAAAGTGCCGTCCCCCCTCCACCAAGAACGAAAGATGCTGTGCTTTGCAAGGAAGGGTTGCGTCGTGTCTGGAAGTTCCGGGGCTCCCATTGCGAAGATCCCAAGAGCACGAAATCATCCGCATGCCAAACCTTCACTGGCCCCGCCTCATCGTCATAATCAGCCACGCGCGGATAACTTCTATCAAAGGGAGGGCCTGTCTCGTCTGGATGGACTATTTGCCTGGGATGGGACAAGCTTGTCAGCTTTTCTATTGTTGGTTGCTCGGACACCCGTGTGTCTTGCTGCCCCGCGGTCGCTGTCTCAAAAGACAGCCCCGCCACCCTGAGCCCACAGCCGATGACAACCGCACGTGCTGCAAGCGATGCTCAAGGTTTCCCTCCAAGACACATCTCAGAATCAGCCGTGATGTCATCTGAGCTAGAATCACTTTGCATGACATGTTCTGATTTCAGAGCATGTGTCAGGCAATGTTTGCTTAAAACGAGCTTCAACAACACCAAACCAAAAAGCATGCAGGGGATCTACTCCCACCGAAACTTCCACAGAACACCCCAGCCCCCAGGGCGCGGTAGTCCTTCGTGATTCGTTCGCGGCTGGTCTCTCTTGCCTAGCCGTGGGCCGTTAACCTGCCAGGATCCCAGCCAAGCAACTCTTGAAACAGGTAAGGTGTCGCCATGGTTTGCATATGGTTGCATATTCCACAGCATTTCAAGGGTTTGCCTGACGCCCACTTCCTCTGGCCGTGGAATCGACTCGAGGCGGTGTTCACCTCGAGAATGGCTTCGTGCCTGTGACACTTCCCAAGCAGGGATTGAGGGCAGAAGTGTTTGCATCAGCTTCTGCCCAATTAGAGCGAAAGAAAAAGAACGATCATTGCGATTCATCTCCTTGGCAAATGGGAGAAGATGAGCCAAAATGGGGGACTGGCACAAGGCTCCAAGGGCTAACCATTTCACTGGCCAACCGCGTGGCAACCGCGTTGATCGCTTTTCACTCTTCACCGAAAAATGGGGAGGGGGGGGGGGGGAAGGGCGGAGGGGGGACATCCCGGGGTGCGAGCACCTCAGAACCAGTCGAAGGACGCCTGCAGCTCAACCGTGGCCAGGTCCACTTCCTCGCCACTCTCCAGGAGCCGGCCGATCCGGTGGCCTCAGCAATGGAATGGGGGAAGGGGGCCAGCGGGGGATGGGACGGACATGGCTGAGGGAAGAGGATCGAAAGAGCAAACACGAGGGGAACATTAGCGCCACGCCCTGCCCACAAAATGCTTAAACCAGCAACCAAATCATGATCCTTCACGCTTGCAGTAAAGTGAAGTGACGAGGGAGGTCAAGAAAAAGTGCGAATTGCAAGAGGTGATCACCCAATCGCAACTGTCCAATGCTCCGAGTCGCCTGACCACTCCTCGATGTCCAGGAAAGGAATCTCTGCTTTCCCTAGCAATGAGTCCTGGAACCAGCCTTCCCGGAAGATGCTCACCTCAGCTCAGCGAAACTAGTCTAGGAACATTTAGGAACCAAGGCCTTTCAGCCTTTGGGCCTTTGGGATCTTGAGAGGCTCTGCACATTTGCTGGACCTCTTGAATGTGGTCTGAAGGGGTTAGTGGCACTTGATCAACCCTACTCGTTTCGGCAATGGCTTGCCCATTGGCGCTCGAAAGCAATCGAGCATGCTGAGAGAATTCACATCTTCATCAAGCCAACTTGTTTCCATCGGCACATGAGGGGCCTGGTTCTCAAATCGAGTAAGACTACCTGTCTTGAGTCCCATCAAGATTGGAACGTAGCTTCTTTTGTCGACAGTGCCACAGGCAAAGCAAACGGCCAGCGAAAGGGGCCGGGGCCACAAACCCGTGGTCTGAAGCTCTTGAAATACAACACCCCAAATAAAGATGAGCCAATTGCATGCAGGAATACTCACCGTCAGCTGATAGACAATAGGATGCCTGTCTCCTGCGTCTGCGAATTACATTGGAAAGTCTTTCATGCATCCATGGGTTAGCAAAGCTTGTTTCCGGTAAATATCCAGCTGTCACCCAAATAAGCTTTACTGTGCGGCCTGCCAGCAAGGTCAAAACAACGTGACCAATTGTGACGTTTAACCGCACTGTGCCAAGGCCCCCTTCGCCCTTGGACCGGAAGTGCACCTTTGGTTCTGGTGGGGCCAACTTTAGACCATTTTGACCCGCTGGATACCATTTGGGCCCCTTGTAGCCAACCACCTCAAGGAATCTGTCCCTAATCTTCGAGAAACACCCATCTATAGTCATTGCAACCCAGGCACCGTCAGCGAGGTGTCAACTCTGAGCACTTGGAACTGGAAGTCCGCGTCCCACTTCGGCGTGGGCCCGGGCACACGCGTGCTCTGCTGCGTGGCATCGCCCACGCCCCTGCAGCCAAAGATTCAGTACCCTCCCACCAAACAAACATGAGAATGCAAACGCCCCCCTTTTGACTACCTTCTTTTGAAACTGGTTCTCTGCACTTCCATAGTGGGAGGCAGGGTATCCCAGGAGAAGCCCCTGGCTTTGAATCAGACACATCACAGGCGAGGCTCAACACTGCGTAGTGATGGCCGCCGAAGAACTGCCTCAGAAAAGCTTGCAAGCTCTGAGGCCACAATGCCCCGTGCGGTGTGCCAAGCCATCCAAGCCATTTGGGGCCGTACAAAACAGCTCCAATTGCCTCCTTCCTGCCATTGCTGCTTCTTGCTTGCTAATCGGGATGGCCCAAAAGTCCAACTCTGCCAGGCCGCTCAGCGGGCAAATCTCGCGCCAGGTACAGGCGAACAGAAAGGCGGCCCATGGGCGAAAAGTCCTCCGCGTCCTCCTGCCAAGCTGGAGGCTTTCGCCCGCCGGCGCTCAAGGCTCGACATGGACGCTCACTGAACATGTGGTAAAGTGAGCGTCTGCTCTATTCAGCCCTGGGCTCAGACACCCCACACCCAACACAAAGGCAGTAGAGCAGGGGACCACTTGGGATCTTAGGGCGAGCGCAAGATTGGGGCTCAGAAAGTTGGGCGCAGCGCATTTTGGGAAAGGGCGGGATGACCAGACTTGTTTTGAGGGGGAAAAAACATGCCGCAAAGCTATGCCCGTACTCGTGGGTTTCCCTTTCAGGCCTGCTGCCACCATGCAACCATCTATTGCAAAGCTCTATGCTCTAGACTCGCAGGTCCAGAAGAGAAGTCACAATCATTCCAGCCCTGTCCGCTCCCATATAGCGCTCCACGTAATTGCCAGCCATGAAAGCACAAATGTACTACTCTACCTAGCAAGCCTCAGCTCGAGTTTTCCCCCGAAAAGGGGGTGAGGGCGCTGCCCATTGGCAAGTCAGCAAGCCAAGCACCTCCCAAGAAGTCCCAGGATTCGTCCATTTCGCAGCCTCAGAACAGATCCATATCCACGCCTTGACCGCCTTGAGGCTCTTCCCAGTAGAGCAGCTCCCGAAAAGGCCCCGCTGCAACTCGCTGGAGAGGCTACGGCTCACCATCCTGCAGCCCGAAGGGCAAAAGCGAGGTCAAGACCCTTCTTATGACCCCATTGATTTTGCTCGTGCCTGAAAGCTGCAGGTTATGTATTCCACCTGAGTTTTGGAACGACCTGCGAATCGCATGACTTCGTGTGGGCTTTCTCGGTACAAGGTGATTAGCACTGACCAGCCGCTCGGCTTGCACGCGGGTTTGTTTTTTGAGGACACATGGACATGAAGCGCAGCTAGCCTTCAAGTATGATCTCAGTTCTCTATACCGTAGCCATGTTTATATATAGTCGTATCCATTGTGAAAAATGATTTAGCTCGATTTCGAACATATCAAAATAGTCACTCTCTTTTGCGACTCGGACATGTTGGTTTCGTCTTGTATCTACATAATTTGTACAAACTGAGTGCAACTGCGTCTATTTCGCGCACGGAAAACGACAGCAAAAGTAGACACCTGATCGGGCCGAGATGATTTTGGATCTCATGAGTTGTGGAGATGCATTGGTTTGAAAAGCAAGGACTGATGTGTCCTAGTGAAACTGGTGGTTGCGAATTGGGTTGCTAATCATCGCTTGAGGAAGCGGATCAAGTCTTGCAGCTTTCGGCCCCGCTGTTGTGATTTTTGCGCTTACTGTAGCTTCTCTCGGATGATTTTCCTTCATTCCAGCTCTTGCTGAATCCTTTCATCCACTATCTCATACTGATGTGCCAAACCCTGCCCCAACCCCAAAATTGGCTGGGGTCGTGTTTGCCTTCGCGCAACAAGAAGCCCCCCCCCCCCCAACCCCAGAATTTTTGGGGTCGCAAGTGCGGTCGTCAGCAAAAACGAGCCACGGGCATGGGGACAGCCAACCTGTTCCTGCAAGTTCCTACATCTCTTTAACTTTTGGACAACAATTCTAAACCTAAGGTCTGATTTACTTTGTATCAAAGACTATCCCAGTGTGTCATGAATTTGTTAGTCACCTAGCTCATCTGGTACAAGTCTTTTAATGTTGGGTGATCTTCATTCTAATACACTTTTTGTTTATCCAATATTTGGAGGTGATCCTATACTCTATCAACAAGTCGTTTAGAGTTTGGACATCCAGAAGCATACATCTGAATTCTCACTGCCCGTCTAAGAAATCGCAACACGCCTGACATCAAGAAACGCTGCGCTCCAGCTGCTGCTGAGTATCTGGGACTGGTTGTGCTTAGCCTCGTAAGCAGACCTCGGCGCTCGAGGCGTTTTAAGCACGCCTAAGAAGGGCTCGTGCAAGGTGTCTAGCAGATGGGCAGATTGGATGTTTGATTCGGCACGTTGCAATGCCAAGAATATTGGCATGCCTATCAAGCTCGGAATCATTGCAAATGGCCAAGATAAAGAAAGACACAATGTTGGGATCGCAAGCTGTTTCGAGACCAGAAAAATCAAATGGAAACACCGCCAAGCAAGACTTACCAGAAATGAGTGCAACGACGGCAACAAGAAACAAGTAACAGCTCTAGAAACCACCAACCCACAAACCTACCAACCTACCAACCTACCAACCTACCAACGTACCAACCTACCAATCTACCAATCTACCAACCTGCCAACCTGCCAAGCTGCCAAGCTACCGAGCTATCAAGCTACCAAGCTGCCAAGCTACCAAGCTACCAAGCTACCAACCAGCCAAGCTGCCAAGCTGCCAAGCTACCAAGCTACCAAGCTACCAACCTACCAACCAACCAACCAACCAACCAACCAACCAATCAGCCAACCAACTAACCAACCAAGCAACCAACCAAGCAACCAACCAACCAAACAAGCAACCAAGCAAGCCAGCCAGCAAGCAAGCAAGCAAGCAAAAACCAACCAAAACCCAGCAAATTCAAGCCAAGCCAAGCAAACCAAGCCAAACCAAGCCAAACCAGACCACCAAACCGCCAAAACAACGAACCAACAAACCAGCAACCAGCAAACCAACAAACCAACTACTAACAAACCAACCAACCAACCAACCAACAAACAAACAGACAAGCAAACAAGCAAGAAATAGGAAGAATGTGGGCGCATCATGTTTGGTCAGGTTGTGGGTGTTTATATGCCCGCCATTGGCTCTCTCTGTTCACACCCCGAAGAGCATCCTGAACCCTTCCTTCAAGCACGCTTGAATATTTAATCTTTGCACCAACCTGAAACGCTGCCTTCGGTCCTCAAGATTGAATCATCGTCCAATCACTACACCTGTGATGCCTCTGCCCTCATCCTCAAGACACCTCCTTACCACCCGCCCTCCACCTGCAAACGGGCCGTTGCCCCTCTCGGCCGGCCGAGCCGCTGCTTGGCCTCCAGCATCTGCGCGAGCCGCTGGCGGTGTATCTCCTGGCGCCGCATCTTCTCCTCCTCCTCCCGCTCCAGAAGCTCCTGAGAACCCAGAGGAACTCAGCTGGATTGGAACCCAGAGGAGCCAAGCCCAAAGGTGGCTCGTCTCTATGTAAACAGTTCGTTCAGGATTCGGGAAAATCAACTCCTGCTGTAGAAATGCTGCCCTCCAAAAAGCGAGCCACGCTTTGAGCAACGACGAGCTAGAAAAGTACTTTGATGCTGATAGGAACAAATTCACCCCAATTGCCATGGTTCGCCGGAAGTATGTTGACCCGCGGCAACCAGGGGAGCGGCTACATTTCAAACCTCGCCTTTGATGTTCAAAGGCAACGTCCGTGAGCGCACAGCAACACCTGATAAACTCAAAGACAAGTGCGGTGATTCTGATATTCGAATACAATTACAAGTATTCCCGCAGGGCTGATGACGTCAAGATAAACTGGAATGAAGAACAACGCGATCGACTCGATTAGCATTCGGGTCAGTCAGGATGACTCCTGGCCCAAATCTGCCAAGCGTCCATTTGCTGCCGCCTTTCCTCCTCTTGCTTCTTCCTCCGTTCCTCTTCCTGCACAAATGGACTCTGGAATCAGGCCCCGCAAAAGAGAACGCATTGTGAAACGCCTTGCCTTCACAGCACCCGAAACGAGCCAATTTGTTTCAGACAGCACATATGCTCCACCTTTCTGGATACCCCAAATACCGGGATGGGTGTACATGAGATTCAGCTAGGTTCCGTCAGTCTTACAGGATACTGCATGCTTCTCAAACTGAGACCATGCAATGAAAGGTAGCATCAGCTCGTGCCTTGTCGGCTAAACCTGCCAGGTTCCCGGTGTCCGGCAGCCAAGCTACAAGGCGTCCCAAACAAACAAATGTCCCTGGAAGACGTTCGCGCCAACCGTCTCTGATCAACATCATACATCCAACAGGCTCCTTACATGGCCCTGTTAAGCATCGTCCAAAAGGAAGCACGTCTCGAAATGGCCCCAAAGGTGATGTGTTGACTATCCAAAACGTGAAACCAAATGGCAAACTGCCCTACTTTGAGGTCCCGTAAGAAGAGAAACACTCACATGCACATAGAGTTGCACCCCTGTCAAGCCTTCTTCAGCTCCTCCTCCTCTCGACGGGTGCGCTGGTGCACCGACTCGGTCTGACGTGTATAAGACGTCATGAGCTTCCGGTGGCAGACCTCCAGGAATTTGAAGGTCTTCTCGGCCTGGCGAGCCAAAGATTCCCAGCAAGCAGGCCCTGCCCAAATTTGTAGTGAAGTACAGCCGCGTCAATCTCAGAGTCGCCCTCCGGCCCTGCCTCGGGATGCCCATTCTTGTCCGGGTGGAAGAGCAAGCGCTGGCGGTTCAGCTTGCCCTTCAGCTGCTGCATGATGGGCTCGGAAGCGTCCAGGCACCGCGACCTTGGCGCACTGAGGTCGAAGAAGCCCCACATCTCCTCCAGAGAGATCCTCGGGAAACCAGGTCGGAAATCCATTTCGTGTGCCATACCACTCGGCGCTCAAGGAAAGCTGAAAAGCAGAATCTCCAACAGGAAATCAGGGCTCGATTGGTCTAAGCAATGCGCAACGGTGTTCACAAAACGAGTCCCAGTCGCGGATCTGTTCGCAGAACATGGCGCCGAAGTGCCAAGATATTCTCTGCAGCCTTGTGGGCTGAGCATGGATGCTTCTGGCCCACGACATGACATCAACCACCGAGCCCAATTTCGGACAAACCCACAACTGCCGCAGTCAGTACTCTTTCCGCCCCTTCTTTTAGATGGGACATTTTTTTTTGGCTGATTATTTTTTCTAGGAGCCCGGGTCATTCCTTTGCAACAATCCATGATCATGAATATTTACTGTTGCCCCAGATGTGTGTTGAGTTCCACTGGCAAGCATCGGGAGAAACAATCCCAGCTCAAGCAAGATGAATGCCAGGCTGATGGCTGTTTGTCTGATGAACGTCTGTGCTTGCGTGTGCTAGTCATAGATCCTGTTGTAGGCAGCTGCAGGCAGCTTGAAGACTACGATCTGCCACCCCACCTTGAGGTCCTACATGGTTGAGCGTGCCTTTCTGGATATCTGTTGAGCCAGCATCTCATGAGCACGACTTCTCAGGAACAGCTGGCTGGAGAACAAAACAAAGAGCTTCTGCGGTTAAGCCGTAATGTCCCGCGCGTCCCACACGCAAATCACGCATGCCCTGCTCTATCAAGAGAGCCCCTTTGACTGCTAGCTGGCCATGGGAGGCCAATACTTTGACACCCAGATCTCCTGTTTTGGAAGCAGGTAGATGAAGTCATGACAGCATCCACTCAATGAACAAACTGTCCTCACTGTAGGACTGACACGGTGCATCCGCACCATGCATGGTTCACCGTGTGCGTGATCACTGATTGTCTCATAACGGTTGTGCTCTTCATAATGACAATGGGAAGAATATCTAGTGTTCTTTTGAGCTTTCTATCCGCGACCTCAACCAAGGCGGCATGGTCAAAGCTATGAGCTCGTGTTCTCTCCGGCCGGACATGCCAGTGTCAGCTGGTTCACTGCTGCTCACTGCTCACTGCTGGTTTGTTGCTGTTCGCTTCAGGTTGAGAAATGCTAGTTGCACCCCTGCGACCATCGCTGGAGTCTTCCCGCCTTTGTGGCCTGCTCTTCGCTCATGCGGCTGCCCACCAGCTGCTTGGCTTGGCTCCTTCAAAGCATGGCAGAGTGATCTTGGTGGCTCTTTGGAGGATCAAGGAACAAGCGAATGGTACAGAATGGACCATGCTTTTGGAATGGTGTGTGCTTCTGTAAAAGCAGAATGAGATGGACCATCTGCGAAACAATACGTATTCGCAATCACCATGGCCCCAAAACTGAGCCTTACCTCCCTCCAAGGCGGCTCCTCGGGCTGAGCGGCTTTGGCTTTGGCTTGGGCTTGGGCTTGGGCGCCGGCGCCGGCTTCTCCGCTTTTGGCACCGGCGTCTCCGCCTTCTCTGGCGGCTCCTTCGGCAGCTCCTCGGCTTTCGCCGGGCCTGGGGCACTGGAAATTCTCAGACGGAATTTGCGAACTCTGGATTCGCATTTGTGGCCAATCCGTGAGGTTGCAAGCCGTTCCGCCAGATTCAACTTTCTCATGCTATCTTGAGGAGTTCCAACGAAAAGCAATGTTCAAAGGCTCCGCTGTGGGCTTGTGGCCACAAAACCTGCCGCCTGGCAGATCCTCGGCCGCACCCTTCCCAGTCCAGAGGAGCACCGGGAAGGAGCTGAGGCTGATGATCCTGGGAGGATTTGTGGGATCCCACACCGGACACCGGGGTGCAATGGCCAAAAAACCAGGAACTTGGCAGGGAGCAAAGCTATCGAGGGCAGAAGCCTCCGTCAAGAAAGCCAAGCTTCTACAGAGATAAGCCATGGATGGAGACAGCTGAAGAATGCATATGCATGCCACGTTTGATAAGACAAAGTGCCTCGCTGTAAGAGAAACTGGAAGGACTGCCTGGACTGGGGCGCCGGCAGCAAGCCCACGAAGTAGCTAGACAGGCTGGGCCAGTCAAGACCTGACTGCCCACCAGCTCATTGCCAGTCTGCTTGCTGAAAAGAGAACTTGGCCATGTGCTTCCAACAAAGCAGCAGGCAGAACCGGGAATCAAGGAATCAGAAAGCAATCGTCAGAAGCAACGCTGAAGTTCCATGAGGCAGGCAAGGCCAAGGTGGAAGGGCTATCGCGTTCTTTGAAAAAGGAGTGTTCCGAGAGCCCCTCACGTGGCAACAAAAGAGTTGGTCGCATCTGCCCCCCTTGCTTTGAACACATGCACGCGTAAATGGCGCTGGTCGAAAGTTGAAGCTCCCAAGAGTGCCCAAACTGCTTTGCACAAGGGTATCTGCACAAAGGTTGGTTCGCGTTCGTTCGGATTTGACGGCGCCCTGTTCCGCGCGCCAAGCTGCCGCCGACGCCCTCCTCATTGAGGGCCTCCGCCAAGCCCAAGCTCAGCGCTCCAGCACCTCCCCCCGGGGCGAAAAGGGGAGCGAAAACGGATCGCCGGGGTCATTAATCATCCACCACACTTGATGCGTACTTCGGAGCTAGCTCTGGTTCATGCTGAGCACTGCTACTGCCAATACCATTGCCGCCAAAGCCGCCATTGCCGTAACTACCACTGCTGTGATGTCAATGCCCCTCACAATGAAAACTAGTCCCACGTGGACTAGGGCTGAAGGCCCGAAATACAATACTGACAAAAACACATAGCACGTCGTGTCGCGGTTGGAGTTCCAGTCCCATGGCGATTAGCGGGTGCCCAGGGCGGTGTCTCTGCTGTGTCTTGCTCAGTGTGCAGCGCTGATTTGTCGGCGTCCCGGCTGACGTTCCGATTTCCGCCTGTGGTGTCCGACACTGTATGTCGGTTGGTGCTCAGCCGTCCAGTCGGTGTCCCAGCGTCCTGCACTGTTCACCCAGCCGATGTTTGTTTCAAGACCAAGGATGCAAAATAGCTGCTTTTGCTGACGGATCTTGTCGCTGGGTTAGTTGAGAGTACAGTTTCCAAGAACTGGTAGACGAAGCAATGTCAAAATAAACATGCTTAGTCCTTCAGCCGGCTCTGATTCTAGAGGCCATCAGGTACCAAAGCGGTCACTTGCTTCCAAGCAAACGATGCTCGCAATTCCTCAAATTAGCTGCAGACCCCGATCTTTCAGCAAGGCTGCGCCTAGCAGCAGGAAGAGCGCCAGAAGTGCCCCTCGCACGCAGCCCGCACGCATCCTGCCGCTGGGTTTGAATCATCGGCCTGTGCTGAAGTGTCTGGATGTTGATCAAAGGTGCAGAAAGCTGGGGGGGGGGGGGGAGAGGAGGTTGTGCCTTGCATGTTTTAGGGAAACCTTGCAAAGCCATGGAGTTCCACCGCAAACAAGTGGACCTGGGACCGAACTTTGATTTGGATTGCAAAGGGACAAATACTCGCTGGACTGGCCTTTTAAACAAGATCCTGCGAACAACTTCTGTTGAGAGTTGATTGACAAACGGCTCCGATCCACCTCAAACTCAGCACTGCAGCCTCTCCCCATGCAAGCCCAGAACAGAACTGGTGCTTCTGCACGTTCATCTTTTGAACAGGTGTGAATACAATAACGGCCTGGATTCGCACAGCCAAGCCAAGGCCTTGAGTTGCAAACCCCGGCATGCATCCTGGCAAGCAATCCCTGCCCCAAATCGAGGCCCGTCCTATCAGCACCTCAACATGACAGCGTGGCTCACACATTCTTCGCCCGAAGATGTTTAATCTCCATGTCCTCGTGCTGGTCAATTTGGCCCCGCCTGTTTTGTGGTGCATCTGGTCTGGCTATGTAAACCATGTCAAAACACTAGGCATGTTTACGGGCGAATACAAACGGCCCAGCTGAAAGCTGCATGCATTGCTTCTTGGGCCGGCTACCACCTCAGGTTCAGCTTGTTGGTGCCAAGATAGCCAAAGGCAGCAGCAACCTTGCTAAGAGCAGCTCCATTCCAGAAAGCAAGAGCCAGAAACATTGAAATTGAATTCTACACCATGTCTGTGCAGGAACACAGCATGCTGTGCTGTTCTGATGTGCAATCACCGTACCCACAAGGTTAGGTGGAGCCCTCACACAGTCCGCAGCCATGATCCAGGAAGATGGCATGAATCCCAATCACTGAAGCACGACAAACTTCCCTCCAAGCTGGCAGCCCTTCCATCAGATCCAGCTGAAGCTACCTCACTGCTACCTCAAGCATGCTGCACCCGCACGATTTTACCCGTGCGTTGACCCACTTAAAGTCTCAGGCAGCCCTCGGTTGGTGATCTGGATTGGTGCATTGCGAGCCGTGGCTGGGTTGAGTTGGGGCCTGCGTCGCAAAACGTCCAACACCAGCCACCAAAGCACGGGTTGATTCATTCAGAGTTTCCGGCGATGGAATCTGGCCTAGGGCCCAAAGAGAAGCACTCCATTTGTGGATGGGCCGAAAGTAGTGGATAGGTGTTGATGCCCAAAAACCGGTGCCTCATTGCAGGTGGATGCTTTCTTGACACAACAGTCTTCGTCAGAACCGGGCACCAACATGAAGTGATGTCCGTCGATAAGTACTGCCTTCCGTGAAGCAAACATTGGTTACCACTTACATATATATATATATATGTATATATATATATATACATATATATATATACATATATATATATATACATGTGTATATATATACATAGTCACTAAGGTATTTGAAGTCGTTCGAAGGAACATTACTGTATAAGCTCGCTGTTCCCTACCAGTGTTTCGTTGCAAACTGAAAAACTTCTGTGGTGACCCCCTGTTCTCCTTTAATTTTGGGCCCTCAGGTTTGATCCCTAAAGCAGGGAAGGATCCGCTCTTGAGTGAGCCACCCCTAATCAAAATCAACAAAGGTGTTGCAATGGTAAACAGAAGCTCGGCTGCTCGGATTCTCTCAGGGGGATTAGACCCGTTCAGAAAGTCAACGACATTCAAAAGAGCTGACAATGAGCCTGACACTTGCTTTCACTAGTGTCCGTTAGCGTTTGCTGCCATGCACTTGATGCCTCGCGTCGTGTCCTTTCTGTCCTGATTGCCCATGCTGCAAAAGAAGTCAATGATACTGATAATCTATCCCGCAGAGCGAAGCTTGCAAGATACACTGTTTGGAGAATTGTCCAAACTCTACGCTAAAACTGGTTGTCTTTGTTCTCTTTAGCTTGGAGGCCGGCAACTATTGGCTTACAGACTTTCAAACATGATACACAGGGTATGTCCTCAATTGTGAATAGTGTCCCCCATTTCAAAAAGAACACTCGGCATTCCACGCGTAACTCATAAAATTGTTGCGTGCACATGCTACCTGGCTTGCAGTCGCGGCCACTGACTGTTGCGCCCAAATGCTGGCTGGCGAGGGAAGCAGACGTCTTTGCTTCTTCTTGACATACTGATTCTTGTTTCGTGGAGTGGAGCTCAGAAGCCAGGATTCGAGGGCGCAACTGGAATGGCGCGCTCTCTTTGGCAAGCGGCTTTTGTGAGGTCTTCTCCAACGACCAACAGGGCCAAACGACTTTCCAATGGAAACGCTGCACAGCCTGATTGCTCCCACGGCCAAGAGGCCCGCAGACCATGGCCAAGAGGCCGGAAGACCCTTCTGCCCCCAGAAAGGCAGGCTCTTAGTGTACGAGGGGCTAAGGCGTCTGGCTGTGAGACATGCGGGAGCAGATAAGGGAACACCCCTCACTTTGCCTCTGGCAAACAACAGGGAAATTGTAGACTTGCAACAGGCATTGTGGCACAATCGCGACTGTGGTCGTTCAGTCACGTTTTGGCAGTGACTTGGGAGGACGACCCTCGTAAACCAGAGGGGTCCATCCCCGCCTCAGAGAAGCCCCGGAATCTGCTCTTCATGTTCCCCCAATGTACAGAAGCAACATCTGGAAGTCCTTCCCCTTCTTAATAGGCACGCGGTTCGGGGTCATTTCAAAGGGCGCCCAAAAGAAAACGATCCATCTTGGATCTGTGTTTCTATGCAGAAAAAACGGCCTGTTTTGTTGAGACACAGCCACACGCCGGCCCCGGAGTCACAGGTCTGAGTGGCTGGAGGTGAGGTCCTGGCGCGGTTCTTTTCGACTGGTGTTTTTTTGTCCGGATCTTCGGAACACGGGTGGCTCGTCGTCTTTAGGAATCGGACCCAACTTTTTGTGGTTTTCCTTTTGGCTTTCCTGTGAAACCAAGCAAAAAGGGGTACCCGCAAAAAAAAAAAAAAAACGACACCCGTATTGGATACAAGTAGGGCACAGGAAGAAAATCACGTTGCTACTCTGAAGAAGATGACCCTTTGCCCAAAAAGGAGAAAGCGCTGAGTTGAGAAAGCAGCACCTACCACCCTGCTCCATACTCATAGTTGTTCTAACCTGCTCATAGTTGGCCCTCTGGGTTGGTCCTGATTTCCCTTTGTCAGCCACCTTGGAGACACGAGACACAATCAAATGAACCAATGCAAGTCCATTCGACCATTCCTTGTGTTGGCATAAAGCAGGACATGCCAATCACTTTGACAATTCGTACAGCCTCCAACCCGAGGCAAGAGCAATCAGCTCAGCCAAGTGGCCTCAAACCCTACGACTCGCCGACTCCGCCAACGTTTTCATCCGCGCGGTCGCGGTCGCCGCCCCGCAGGCCCCGAGCTCGGCGAGCAGCGCCGGCAGCTCCGAGAGCCGCGCCCCGAGCTCCGCGGCGGCCGCCGCGGAGGCGCAGACGACGGCGTTGGGCGCCAGGCGTTGGGCCTTCAGCTCTGCGAAGAGCAACAGGGCCTTCCAGATTCCGGGCAGGGGCAAGAAGAGATCAAATTGGAGCCTCCGGAATCCGAACTTCGAGCTTCAAAAAGGGCCTTGACCCTAACAGTGAATAGTTCGTGGCTGAGACGCAACGGTCCCCTTCAGCCTATTGTTGACTCGGAGTGACACAACACGCTGCCCACATGCAACATGGCAAAGCTGCAGATGGTCCCGAATAGGTCTCCCCTCTGCTCAGGTGGCTCGCCCTGCTTCTGCGACACCTTGCCTGGTGCGGGTGTGCACCCTCACAGGCGCTGATGGCAGCGGCAAAGGTGACAAGATTCCTCGGTGGCCCGTACAGTGCTGGACACTTCCAACCAATCAGCAGGCTAACAGGATGGCATGCTGCCAAGCTACAAATGAAAGGCAGGCAACTCTTTATGCGGCACATGCACGTGCAACATGACCCCGCCATAAGCGTCACATCAAACATATACCTAAATATCACACAGAACACACTACAGCCCCCTCCCCCCTAATCTTCCCCCTGGAGGTGCAAATGAATTTTGTTCACACGTTGTAGTAAATGTAGTAGCAGGACAAGGGCCTTCTTGGGTTCGACTACCCCGTGGTCCGTGGCCAGTTTGGGGTGCCGCAGCCATTTTGGGGGTGTGCCCCACAAAAATCCCGGAAAAATCCGCACATATAAGACATTTCTACTCTGAAATCCTCTAAACCACGTGGAAAAACACGAAAACATGCGCCACGCACAATGGCAGCGGCCTGAGCCAGAGGCTCTAAGTACAGGCATTGGAGGCGCAGCTCCATCCATAGCATGCAACAAACGCCTCCCTTCCACACCCTCCCTTCCCATCTTTGCCGGTCTTCGGTTGCAGGTGGACTTGCACATCCGCCAACAGCGCCAGCACGTGGCGCCAGGCCCTCGCTTTGTCGCAGGCGCTTAGAGCGCCGTTGGAGGCCACCAAACTCGGCCCCAGCGACTCCAAGCGCAGCTCGCCCAGCAGCGCCAGGCCCGGCCTCACAGCCCCAACAACCGATTGGGTCTTAAAACAGGGGACCCCCAAAATGCCAGGTATCCTTTTGGGTTTCCCTTTGTAATGGAGCCAATACCAAAGGGTGACCCTCAAGAAACGAAGGACGCACCCATATGCTTTCCGGAGTCGAAAACCAGCGGTTGCGCTTGGCGCCTCCAAGCTGTGGCATTCTCGCAGGCACCGATGGCCGCCCCAAAGGCCACCACGTCGAGAACCTCACGGCCCAGCAGCCGCAGCGCGTGGCGCCAGCGGCCCGCCTTCTCGCAGGCGCTGGTGGCGGCGTTGTAGGTGACCTCTGTGGGGCGCAAGGCCAGGTGCCAGGTCGCCTCCAGGGGAAAAATGTGCTGGGCCAAAATGTCTTGGGAAAGTGTCCTTGCCCCAAATTGAGCATGCATCAGGTCTTGCAAAATTTGAAAGAATTGAACAATGACATGGAAATGTATGTTTCGTGGCAAATTGCTCTCTCGAGTTCAAATCGGTGAGAGTATGTATGAGGTGCGTTTATGTCTGATTTGTCGGATACGCATTCTTCTGTTTGGCCTACACAGGCACCAAATTCTCCCATTGGACACCACAAGCCCTTTCCGCCTCTAGCAGCGCCACGCTCAGCTTCCACTCCCGGCGTTTCTCGCAGGCGCTGATGGCCGCATTGCAAGTCACTGCGCTCAGCAGTCGCCGAGTCCGGGCGTCGGCGAAGAGCACCAGGGCCTCACGGAGAGGGATTTGGGGAAGCGCTACCGTTTCGAACGGAGATGAGACAATCATGTCATATATGTATATGTGATGTGTATATCCGCCGACATTGCTCGGCGTGTCGGATACTTACTAGAGGATAGAGGATAACCCCCCCCCTAACCCCCCCCCGCCCGACGTCTATTACGTAGGTTTTTTTTTTGGGGGGGGTCCCCCACGTACCGCGCGGCAATTTGATGACGTTCCACTAAACGTAGTCTTCGGGGAGCCGGTGTCGCAAAACAGGGGTCCCAGGCTCGATTCCCCCTGCCGGCTTTTTTGCTGGCTTGGGCTTCCTGCATCCTTTTGCCGAAAATCTGGAAAAACTCAATGTTTTTGGACGTCCTCTTTGCGAAAACGCTGGAAAAACCGTGTTTTTTTTGCGGGAAATACTGGGGAGCAAAGGGGAAGTGCAAGGATACATACATACATACATACATACATTACAGTACATTACATTACATTACATGACATTACATGACATTACATACATACATACATTACATACATACATACATGCATACATGTATGTAATGCATGCATGCATGCATGCATGCACACATACATACATACGTACATACATTACATGCATTACATTACTTACTTACTTACTTACTTACTTACTTACTTACTTACTTACTTACTTACTTACTTGCATACTCACATACATGCATACATGCATACATACATACATGCATACATACATACATGCATGCTTACAGACATACATACATACGTACATACATACATACATGCATACATACATACAACATACATACATACACACATACATTACATACATACATACATACATACATACATACATACATACATTACATACATACATACATACATACATACATACATACATACATACATACATACATACATACATACATACATTACATACATACATACATACATACATACCATACATACATTACATACATACATTACATACATACATACATACATTACATACATACATACATACATACATACATACATACATTACATACATACATACATACATACATACATACATTACATACATACATACACACATACATACATACATTACATACATACATACACACATACATTACATACATACATACACACATGCATTACATACATGCATACATCACATACATACATACATACATTACATACATGCATACTACATACATACATACATACATAACATACATTCATTCATACATACATACATATGCATGCATGCATACATACATACATTTCATACATACATTACATACATACATACATACATACATACATGCATGCATACATACATACATACATGCATTACATACATACATACATACATACATACATACATACATACATACATACATACATACATACATACATACATACATACATACATACATTACATACATACATTACATACATACATACATACATACATTACATTACATTACATTACATTACATTACATTACATTACATTACATTACATTACATTACATTACATTACATTACATTACATTACATTACATACATGCATACATACATACATACATTACATACATTACATACATACATACATACATACATACATACATACATACATACATACATACATACATACATACATACATACATACATACATTACATGCATACATTACACATACATTACATACATACATACATGCATACATACATACATACATGCATACATACATACATACATACACACATACATACATGCATACATACGTTACATACGTTACATACATACATACATTACATACATACATACACACATACATTACATACATACATACACACATGCATTACATACATGCATACATCACATACATACATACATACATACATACATTACATACATGCATACCTACATACATACATACATACATACATACATACATACATACATACATACATACATACATACATACATACATACATACATACATACATACATACATACATACATACATACATACATACATACATACATACATAACATAACATAACATAACATAACATAACATAACATAACATACATACATACATACATACATACATACATACATTACATACATACATACATACATACATACATACATACATACATACATACATACATACATACATACATACATACATACATACATACATACATACATACATACATACATACATACATACATTACATACATACATACACATTACATACATACATACATACATACATACATACATACATACATACATACATACATACATACATACATACATACATACATACATACATACATGCACACATACATACATACATACATACATACATACATACATACATACATACATACATATGTACATGCATACATACATACGAGAGAGGGAGAGTGGGGAGAGAGAGGCTTGGGGGGATGGGGAGGATGGGAGCAGAGGGAGGGAGAGAGGACGACAGAACACACAAGGGAGACAAGGAAGAGAGGAAGAAGGAGAAAAGGGAGAGGACAATGTCGGCGGACTGAGCCGGAGGCTCTAAAGTATATACATGTAGATATATATATATAATATATATATATATATATGGTATGCAGTCATATAGGGATATGACACATGCGCCCAGCAAACTTGGCAAAAGAACATGCCTGGCAAGAGATTGACTCATTCCAGCCCCGGCTGGAATCCAATCTGCAACATACTTCTGGAAGCAATCGAGGGGTCGAAACCTCGACCTATGCCTGTTGGGCTCTGTAGGGATTTGGCTCTCCAAACCTGCCCTCTGGCCTGTTGCCACTGCCCGGCCCTTCCGCAGGCGCTGATGGCGGCGTTGTATGTGACAGCATCCCGCTGCAGCCGGGCGGCTGCGACTTCATCCAAAAGGGCCACAGCCCGCTGCCACTCCTCCGCCTTTTCGCAGGCGCTGAGAGCTGCGTTGTAGGAAATGATGGTGGGCCTCAAGGACCTGGCGGCTTCTTCCAGGAGAACGAGGGCCTGCTGGCAATGCGCGGCTTGACCGCAGGCACTGATGGTGGAGTTGTAGGTGATGATGTTGGGACGCACCGAATTGATGTCAGCCTGGCTCAGCAACTCTAGGGCTTCTTGCCAATGGGCCGCCTTCTGGCAAGCACTAATAGCAGCTCCATACGTGATCACGTTGGGCTGAGCAACGCTTGCCTGCCTCAAGGTAGCACGCTCAAGATAATCACTGCTCTGCTGCGGTGCTTGCCAAGTTCAGCAACTGAAAGAACTCACCAAGCGAGTGAATGCAATCATTGAAGGGGCTCATGAAGACTTCAGACTGGCTCCAGGAAGCAGAGTCCGCCACTTGGCCGGGGCCCAAACTCAGCAGGAATACTTTAGCAGCCTGGCCTCAGTAGCCTCAAGGCCGATTGCCAAGCAGATGCCGCCTCGCAAACGCTGATAGTGGAGTTGTAGGTAACGACATCCGGCTGCGCCTGCCAAAGTTCGGATGCACGGATGAATCCAAGACACGTACTGAACAAATCGGCCTACTGAGGAACGTTGCAAAACGTGGGGAAAAGCCCATGGTCCCACATTGCCCACCTGCGACATTTACCCCACGCAGACAGTCAGCACCCACAAAAAGCTGGCCCATGCTGCCAAGGAGTCTGTGACAAGGCCGGCCCTTTGGGGTAACTGGGTCTCTTGGCAATCACATGAGATGTGTCGTGCTACGTGGACAGGACTTCATTGTCTTGAGTTTGTGCGGCATGCGGAACCGGTTCAAAATCATGATTGAGTTGTGCGGCAAGCATGGCACAGTCAATGTGCACCCCGTTTGAAATCAGGCTATGACGGTAGGAAGCGATGTGAAATCTGACTGGCCAAGCCGCGCCCTCCTGCTTGCAAAATCCTACAAGCAGGGGTGTGCATCATGTTCTGCGACCCAAAGGGAACAACTTCCATCCTGCTGTATGCACGTACCTCCTGTCCTTGGCAGCAATTAGCATTCACAGGCTCACATCAATGGGGCAATACACTGCCATGCGCGAGAGATGATCAACCTGCCTGCTGCAAAGCCTCTTGTAGGAGGTGCACTGCACATCTCCAGCGCCCAGATGCCCTGCAGCCGCTGATGGCCTTGTTGCACTCGACCACTGAGGCAACCGAGTTGAAACCCGCTGCGAATGTGGCACACTCTGGGACTCCAGAGCGCTGGCTGGGCGCCTGTCCGCAAAAACAGCTCCAAATGCTCAGTGGCAAGTAAAACCAATGCGCTAAAATTGATTTAAACGCTCCAGACTCCAGAATGGTATCTTTCTGGGAAATGATGTTCCCAGAAGAGTATAGAAGAGTGGGCTAGAAGAGCCAAAACAGTTGAAGACTGCCAAGACCTTGACTGAAAGAAAACGACACTCTTGTGAGCAACAAACCACCGTCTTTGAGGGAAAGCTTGGTGCAACCAGGTTCGAGCCTCTCGATTGAGCTCCATCACGCTGGGTCATAAGCTGAGGGCCCCTTGGATTGTGTGGGTTTGGTCTGGTTTGGTCCGGTTGGTATGATTCCACCCTGCTGAGGGCGGAATGCCTTCTTGATCCAGCGTGGCGGGCGGATTCACATCAAGGATTTGCATCCAAGCCCTCCCATCAGAATGAAGGAGCTGCAGAGAAATTGGGGAATTTCTTCATTGTCATGATAAGAAGGACACTCAAAGTAGCATCATCCTCAAAGCATCGGCGGCCCTCTTGTGATCCCGGAAAGCGCCCGAGGGGACAAATCCCCGCTCCCTCCCCGCCCGTGGCCAGGTCCTCTGGCGTCTCCGACCTCAGAAGTTCTTGAGCAAGGAAGAAAGCCCAAAATTACCGCTCAACCAATCAGGGTGCAAAAGCCAGGTGGAGGTCAAGGAAGGCCGGTCAAGCTTCCAGAAGCCCTAGCAAAACCAAAATACCCATGCATGTTCACATGGCTTAGCGAGTGCCATGTGTGCGCGCCCCCGAAAAGGAATCCCCAAATGAATAAAAGAAACAGAACTCGCTGGTCTGCCGGAACTCCGACGAGCGTAAGCCATTTTTACGGGTGTGAATTTGAACAGGGGATTCCTTACTGTCCACCAACCACTTTTGAAGCGTTGAAACTCATAGCCAAATAGGTTCTGAGCACTGAAGAGTTGGATGTAATATAGGGATCAGCCTAAGTGGCAGGACAAGGCCTCTTGCCTCGCAACATTGCTCAAGTCTCGGATTGCGATTGGAAGAAAAACAAGGAACAATCTCTCACAAATGGAACATGACACACTGGCTTCGCAAAGCATGCCAACAGTCAGACAGTCAGATAGGGAGAAACCGTATTGAAAGACGCAAGCACAGGGTAGTTCGAACCCAACACAACCCAACACAACCCAATCAAGAGCCCTTTCCTTCTTCATGTCTCAAGCTATCTTTGGACAAGATTTTCCACCTTTTGACACCTCCAACCCATCCATCCGAGCAGCGAGGTGAGGCTCGGCGCACGCGTCCTCGCCTGCGGGGCTGGGACAAACTCAACCAGTCAGCTAGAGTTCTGCTCGCAGCTGCTCTGCGTGAGAAGCTGCTTCCTCCTTTAAAAGTTGGTTGACGCCGGCTCACCGTCGAGTCCCGGGTCTCAACCAGATCGCTTCTATCAACACTCGTCTGCCGGCTGATGCCATTGGGCAACCTGCCTGCGCCGTGATTGCTGGTGCCACCCGCTTCGCCTGGACAAATGAAGGCGGGAGCAAACGATCTTGCGAGACATGTTGTCATAGAGAAAGAGAGAGAGATAGATAGAGAGAGAGAGAGAGAGAGAGCGAGAGAGAGAGAGAGAGAGGGAGAGAAAGAGAGAAAGAGAGAGAGAGAAAGAGAGAGACAGAGAGCGGTATGATGTCACGAAGGACACTGACAGGGGATATCGGAAACGCAAGAAAATAAGGATGTAAAACTATTCTCTGTCTTTCAAAGGAGCAAACATGGCGCCAAATTGGGTGTTCTTCGAACTGCTCCATGCTTACACCTCGTGACAGAAGGATAAGCACCCGCCCAGTTGATTCCAACCACCGGCACTTCCCTTCGCACCGTCTGGGGAGGTTTGCAGTCATCTCGTGCCGGAAGCCGCTTTCTTTGGCGGCGTTGGAGGTATGGGAAGTCTCTGTCCCCTCTTTGTACAGCCGTGGTCAAGATTGAGATGTCAGATGGTGCCCCCCACCTTGATTTGCGACTCAAGCTTGTCGGCTGCTGGCGCTTACAAGAGGCGTCAGGGCAATCGCAAGTGCTCCCTGCAAAGGAAGGACTTGATCTCATGGGTGCCCAAAAAGTCACTGAGAGTCATCCCCCATGCTGACAACTCGTCAGGCCCCAAGGATTCACGTCAGACTCGATCCAGGACAATCGTCCTATCCAAACAGTATCCAAACACAGTGCATTCTCAAGAAACGACCTGAAAAAAACGGTAGCTGCATGTAAAATCAGAGCAACGCATTCGGGAGGCATCAAACAAGCGTACATGCAATGTGGTGGAGAAACGCAGGCCAAGAACCTGGTTCCAAGTCTTCTGAATGCTGAATCCAAAAATTGAAACACAAATGCTGCTGTCTTCCTCAGGTTCACGTGGATCACGGCCAACCTCTACGAAAAGGAGACAAATCCAAGGCCACCTATACTACAGCAATTTGCCTGAGAGCATGAGTACACTCAACGGCCAATGGAACAACCACCATGACCCAAGACCTCTACAAAAGAAGCCGCGCGTATGCACGCCTGCTGCAAGAAAGCGGCGCTTTGCAGCAAATAGCTCTGCATGTCCCCGGTGTCCCGACGGGATCTCTGCAACCTTGGTGCTGCCGAGCGGTGGCAGTGGCAGTGACAGCGGCAGCGGCAGTGGCAGTGGCAGTGGCAGTGGCAATGGCCCAGTGTCTGCTGCTGGCTGTTGCTGTTTCTTGCTTCTGTTGGTTGGAGACGTGGTGATTTTGAGCCATGTTCTCTTTCCAGGCCCCACAAAAGCCTCAAAGCAAGTTCAGTGAGCATGTGCCTACAGCTTCCATGCACAGCTCCACTGAGAGAGCGAATGTGCACATTGGAAAGCTCGGCGCGAACAATGCCCAAAGTGCCCTATTACGCCACCTTCCATATCTTAGAACTACAACAAGCTTCTTTTTTGTTGGGGTTCCAGGTTAGTAGAAGCCCTTCGGGTGACCCAGGAAGTGCCAGGTTAATGAAAGACCGGGTTGACTCTGCTAACGTGGAACTTGGTAGAAATCGCGGTCATTCCCCGTGAGTCCGCAGGAAAACCCGGGAAAAATGCTTTCGCATGGGGATTCTAGGAGGTTCCACGTTAAGTTTGCCAGTAGCCCTTTTTTTGAGTGGTGTGTCCCTTGGTTGGAGGGAGAAGATTGATAGAGTGTTTTGTGTTGTTTCCTCGCCTTGCTTGCCATTGTGGCCCAGAAATGGTGGCCAACCTGGCTGTGCGTAATGCTTGGTTCAATCGAGAAAGCAGCTGTGCCAGGGTTCCGTCAAGCACTGGTTGGCAGCAAGCATCTCATGACATTGCACGACATCCGTCTGTAGCTTCGTCTGCGCCATAGGGGAAGGTTGAAGTTTCCCTTCTTGGGGAAGGTTAACGTTTCCTGTAGGAAAGCTTTTAGGACAGGGGGGCCCCCTTTTAGAAGAGGTTGAAGGTAGGGAGGGTTGAAGGTTCCTTTTTAGGGGAGGGTTGAAGGTTCCCTTTTACGTAGGGGAGGGATAAATGTTCCCCCTTTGGGGCAGGGTTAAAGGTTCCCTTTTGGGAAAGCTTTTAGGACAGTGGGTTCCTTTCCTAAGAGGGTTGGACAACCACTAGCGTGGAACCTGGCTGGAGCGCCCTGGAGGGTTCAAGGTTCCCTTTTAGGGGAGGGTTGAAGGTTCCCAGCTAGCCAACCGGCTGGAGCCCAGCTAGCCAACCCGCAGGTTAGTAAACAATCTGGCTTGCAGGAGGGTCTATGTTAGTGAGTGCCAGCTTAATTTTGCCCAGGAAGTTCCATGATTGTTTTGCTTTTTTCCTGTGGAGTTCCAAGATGGACCAGAGAGTACAAGCTGCAACATGTTCCGGCGGTTTGAACATCGGGGATCCGGCTTGGAGCGAATCTCAAAGCCGCCACCTGGGCCGGGCAAACCTCCTGTCCCCGTTCGGTCTGTGGGGAGGCTGCCGCCCCAGTTGCTGGATGGCCCAAATCTCAATCACTGGTGCCCGACATGAATCCGGGCATTCGAAATGTGTGTTCGAATTTCCTCAAAGATACATAGCCCACCTAGGTGCAACAATTGCCTCCTTGCCTGATTCAGAAGCCCTGCGACCCTCTGTGACCAAAAATGTCCACCAGGGTCTGATTTGAGGGGAAGCATCGGTGATCCAAAGCCACGGAAGAAAGGTCCAAACTAAGTCGCATGATAGGACTCTGGTTGCCATGAATTGGGAGAGAGCCCGCGTGCTTCTGGATCCGCGGCACGTCAAAATTAAAAAACAAACGCGCCGTCCTATGGCACTATCTAGCACATTCTCTCTCCATGTACACTTGTTCGGGTAGAGCAATCAATTGTGATCCGGTCTAATCATCTAATCCAATAGCCTCAGCTTCAACCTACCATCCTGAAACAGGCACCTCTGCTGGACTTCGAAGTCGGGGCACTTTGAAACCTGGGGACCTGCACAACCTCCCGGGTAACTCCCAGGCGGCTCCAGCCCTGAGGCTCCAGCCCCGGCTGCCAGCGCGGCAAGGCGTGGCCTAGCTGCGAATCAAGGGCCGACGCTCCAAGAGACGACTCTACCCCAGGATTGACTCCCCCCTCCGATTACGAGGGAGTGCATGAAAACGATCCGGAGTGGGCAGATAATCATCTTTGGCTTCTTGGGAAGGAACATGTCGAACACGGCAAGGAGTGGTGAACACAACGAAAACGGGACCCCCGGCGAGAGGTCGCTGCTTTGGCACCTGGCATATGTGGGGAAGAGGGGCAGAGTGGATCAGGTCCGCCCCAAACTCTGGATCACATCAGCCCCGAATATCAGACACCACTGAATTTTGGATCGCCACGCCCCGGATTTCAGATTCTCTCGACCCACGCCAGCAGCCTCAACACATGATAAGCAAACCTGCTCAATGCACCCGGCCACACTCACACACCGCGCAACAAGTGATCTAAGAACCCCTCAAAATTGATCCAAGAATCCGCGGCTCAAATCGAAACAGAATTGTCAAACTGGAGCAACGCCGCTCGAGGCCATGCCGGCTCTCCCGTCACAGCAGCTGCTCGTGAAACGGGCAACGCCATGCAGAAATTAAAGGCACAGCCGTGACTCCAGGATGGCGGACTTGGATTTCATGTTGGTTGCAAGTTTGCCACCCCAAACAATACGTTGCCAGTTGGCACCTTGCTCCTCACTGCCTCCCAGGTTGCAGTTTATGCAGGAATCGCAAGGTCCTTAGCACGTGCCTGCCCCGGAATGCTTCTTTCATCTAACTCAAAAATCTGACTACCCACAAGAAGCAGGGCAACTACATCTGCAGCCGCAACTACACTGATTTCCAACCACCAGCAATCGGCCAGGCTTTCCCTCCCGCCCCCAGATCCCCCAGTGGATGCCTCCCGTTCTGGCTCAGACCATTCAGGCCAACCTCGGGAGCTGGATGTCGCCGCCCATTTGTGCCTGGATGTTCTTTAGCTTCGCCCTAGGGTCTCCACTTGTGCCTTGTGCCTGTGTCACAATGTGAAGGAAGTTCTGTTCTGAACTGGCTGAAAAATGACTGAGCTTCTTCCAAACATCCAACGTCCGGATGCCTCATTCTGACAAATATGTCAAGCAGTGTTCATTCTTCCGGGATTTAAGCGTTGCCGTTACTGCTTTCAAAACCTGACCCCCCACCCACCCGCCCACCCACTCACCAGAAACAAGCATAATTCCTGTTCTCCTCAGATCAACAAAGAAATTGCCATTTCAGGGAACCCATGAATTCGTTCCGTCCTCTGATAAATCTGATGTTGAGATTAGCGCTTGTACTTACCAAAAGGCACACCCATTGCGTTGCCACTCAAAAAAACATGTCATGGCTCGAATGAGAAAGATCGAGCAACAAATGAAAGTATGAAACATAGCGATGAGTCTGAATGAAAGCTTCTCGACAAACAGCCTGTTATCTGTGACACTCCTGGATGCCACATCAGCTGGAGAACAATACAAGGCCGAGGCCTTGAATCTCTTGGTCTCGCTTTCGATGCATTTGTTTCTGCAGCATGCTTATTGCCAGTCTTCTCTAGCCTGAGTGCTAAGTGAGCCATACCAAAATGGCAAGTTGCCTCAAAGAATACACAAGGAAGCTGGCCTGTTCCTGCTGACCATAAAATGCATCGAAGCTGGAGATAGAGATGGCTACAGGACGTGTTTATCGCTACCTTATTGCAGCAGGCCTACGGCGGTGCGGTGTTGTGAGGGAATGGCAAACTGGTGACCTGACGTCGAACCTCTGACCGCGAAAGCGAAGCGGTTCAGTCGCGCGTCTGCGGCTCCCGGCTCGGTGTTGCCTGGTGCATGGGACGCGGAGGGTGCGCAAAGTATATCACGGCTTTCAGGGCAGCAGTCGGCGTCTTAAAGGCAAGCTTGGGGGCTTGGAGCTCCTCAACACTAAAGCTGGAAATGTGCAGTCCTAAAGCCGACTGATAGCAAAACTTAGTGGAGGGAACCCTAGTTTGGGCGCTGATGGGCGGTGTCGACCCTGGATTAAGCAACCAGGGAGTATTCCCCCAAAGGTCCGGCTCCCGGAACCCCCCTGTCCATCAACCAGGGAACCGCTGGTTGATTAATCCTGGGTCAACATTATTCGGTGACTGCTCAGAAAAGTCATTGTCTTGAGGGCAACACTTCTACAAACAGCTCAGCACAGCTCACGGCTTTGAAAAGCGGAAAGCCTTCAATCCGAAGTCCGGCGCGCAAAAGAGGCGACTGTTTTACACAAGTGGACCCTTCAATACCCTGCATATACAAATTGGCAGAGTGCAGAGTGCCTTGATAAATTGTGAATTTGGCTGAATCAGCTACAGCCCGAGAACAGGGTCTCAAGCCGGCTGGACTCAGATTACAAAGAGTCAACAAGAAGCTAACAAACTGCAGGGCGCAGAGACGACACTGTCAGAGATGCCAAGAGCAAGGCCGAGCTCAGCGCTGAGAAGCCTTCACCACATCCTTGAACTCCAGGAATGCCTTGTAGGCCGCCTTGGCGTCTTCAGCACTCACCTTGGACATCATGTAAGGGCCCACATCCTTGCCCAGGCTGAACTTGTTGAAGGCATTGTACACGTCCATGGTCTTGGAGGCCGGCACGGACGCAATCATGTGGCCGATGGCGGCGTTGGTAGCCGTGTAGTCCGCAAGAGTGGTAACGCCCTTGCCATCAATGCTCTTGATTGCCTTGCTGTGGGCCAACACGCCAGCCTTCAGAGCCTCTGGGTCCATCGCGGCGCCCATAACCAACATCTTGTCAATCGCCTTCAGCACCTCCAAGGGCTTGGCAGTGGGCAGAACGCCATAGACGCCATCAGTCCAGTCGATCTCCTGGATGATAAAGCTTGGTTTGCTGGACCGTTATTAACGATGTGTCTGAATACAGAAAATCAACTGCAATACGTCCTTTGGCCATAAGAAACAGTGCTCAACAAAATAACACGATCAGCTACCACAAACGTCAAATAAACTCGACAACTGTGAGTTTAAAGCAACATCTCACCAATGGTTTCCAGCACGCCTACAACTTGACCTCACCATCTCTTCGGTCAAACATGACCCGCATCCCAGACAAAGCAGGAAGCTTCTTGCAAGCCATGATCATGCCCATCATACCCCGCGATCATGCCCAGTGCTCCTTCAAGAATGGGTAAGACTTCTCTGAGAGAACCTTGGCCGCATCATCGATCTTGTCCGCGTAAGCAGGTGCTGTGCCCAGCATGGCCGCGGCGCCGGCCGCCGTGGCGATCGGCACATGTCGGCCAGCAGGGGGCGGCACGAATGCGCCCTGCCAGCCGCAGTAGGCCGCCACGCCCGCCACGACCGCGAGCATCTTGCTTGCCTTTGCCATTGCAAACACGAGGAAGAAGGCTCTTGCTCACGCGGCTACCCTGCTCAAAAGCTGAACTCCAGCCAAGACGCACAGCACAGCTGTTGTCAGCCAAGCACATCAAGCCATGCTTTTTGCCAAGACACACACAATCAACTGCACCCTGAATCGCTGTTCCCCTCAAGGCAAAGACACATGATGTCATGCTTCCCTCATCCCTGGCACGTGAATCAAACATGAGTTGTGCACTCGCAAAACAGAAATCCGCTGATGCTAGTCGAGCGTGTTATGTGTACGAATGCTCTTGCGATTCAGATGAGTGTTAATCTCAATCTCCAGAATCCTGACTCCGAGTTCATGAAGCAGTATCCCAACTTTGCTAACCCCATCTTCAGTGAAGTATGCTAGCAAAAAACCCAGACTCAATCTACTAAGTACAGGTCGGCAAAGAAAGAAAGTATCCCTTTCGGGGAGCCAATCTCCAAGAACACAAAGTCTTTGCCGTCT